TCCCAACTTTCCTCCCTCCTTTCCTTCCTTCTCCTCTCTGACGATTTCTCATCTTCCTTCCTTCTTTCCTTCCTTCCTTCCTTCCTTCCTTCCTTCCTTCCTTCCTTCCTTCCTTCCTCCCGCATCTGTGGAGATTTTCAAAAAAGAGATTGGACAGCCATTTGTCTGTTTCCTGCCTAGGCAGGGGGGTGGACTAGAAGACCTCCGAAAGGAAACAAGCAAGAAAATCAGATTTTTGGGGTAACAGTTTTTCAAAGGGGCGACAAGGAGGACAGTCAGAAAAATGACCTCATGTTTGTCATGGTGACGCTGAGGTAAATTATTCTCGGGCAGCTGGAAAATGACACGGCCAGTCACTTGGTCGGAAAAAATCCTCATGAAAAATTATATTCTTGGAGGACTCTTAATTTTAATTTAATTTTAAATGAACTGGGAGAACAATTAACCAATGGAACAACTTTCCTCCAGAAGTTGCGAATGCTCCAACACTGGAAGTTTTTAAGAAGAGATTGGATAACTATTTGTCTGAAGTGGTGTCGGCTTTCCTGCCTAGGCAGGGGGTTGGACTAGAAGACCTCCAAGGGTCCCTTCCAACTCTGTTATTCTATTCTATTCTAACTTAGACCTCCAGATGAAAAAGTGACAACTCCCCACCCCAAAATGGAAGTGAGCCCCCAAACCGGTTAGAATGCGGTATTGCAGGCTGATTCGATCCTGACTAGGTCAAGATTGACTCAGCCTTCCGTCCTTCCGAGGTGGGTAAAATGAGGACACAGATGTCTTACATATTGGCAAAAAAAAAACCCAGAAAATAAAATACAAGCTGAATAGTCAAGACCTTGTTGATGATCCAAACTCTGTCAAGGATCTTGGAATACTCATCTCAAATGATCTAAGTGCTAGAGCCCACTGTAACTACATACCCAAAAAGGCATTAAGAGTTGTTAACCTAATCCTACGTGGCTTTTTCTCCGGTAATATTACGCTACTAACTAGAGCATGCAAAACATTTGTTGGACCAATACTCAAATACAGCTCATCAGTCTGGAACCCGCATTACGTATCTGATATTAACCCAGTTGAGAAAGTCCAGAAATATTTCACAAGAAGAGTTCTCCACTCCTCTACTCGTTGTAGAAGACCTTATGCCACCAGACGTGAAATTCTAGACCTAGAAAACCTAGAACTACGCCGCCTTCGGTCCGATCTAAGTATAGTATATAAAATCATACATTGCAATGTCCTACCTGTCAATGAATACTTCAGCTTCAACCATAACAACACAAGAGCAAACAATAGTTACAAACTCAAGGTTAATCGCGCCAAACTTGATTGCAGGAAATATGACTTCAGCAACAGAGAGGTCAATGTCTGGAATACTCTACCTGACTCTGTGGTTTCTTCCCCAAACCCCCAAAACTTTAACCTTAGACTGTCTACTATTCACCTCACCCCTTTCCTAAGAGGTCTGTATGGGGCGTGCATAAGCGCACCAACGTGCCTACCGTCCCTGTCCTATTGCTTCTTTTTATTTTTCTTATACGTATCCATGTATTCATACCTGTGTTTATACTTGTACCTCTTATCTTATAAGCACTTGACCAAATAAAATAAATACATAACATAAAAATAAATTGCTGGGGGCAAAAAAAAAAGGCTGGCTCTTAATTTAAACCGCTTAGAGAGGGCTGCAAAGCACTAGGAAGCGGGATATAAGTCTAAGGGCTTATTGACATGTTGAGACAGGCTGAGCACCAGCCTTTTCGGCTTAGTAAGATCTCCCCTCTCCCCCCATAAACTCCCCCCCCCAAAATCCTGCCCAGAGTCCTGGTTGTCGTTCCACCCCCCACCCCCACCCCATGAAACCATGTCCGGGACACAAAGCCCTTTACTTGGAGGATATAACACAATCCGGAAGAGTCGCGTAGAAAAAAATATATTATAAAGGCCTTCAGAAAACCGGGCCAAAAATCACAAAGGCCCCCCCTTTTTTTTTTGTTAATAGACCATCCGGCGGAAATACTTTATTTTCGGCAGCCGAAAATAAAAACGAACAGGAACCGAATACACTTGGCTCTCGTTTGATCCAAGAAGGGTTTATTTTAATTTCTTAGTTGGGGGAAGTGGGGGGAAGGGGAGGAAAATTGGTCCTGAAATCACTGGCACGTCTACTACGGGCGCTGGGATGGCTGCTTAAAATCTTAAAAAGTTAGTTGCAAACATCGGAAAGAGTAAGAACTGGGCAGAAAAAAAAGTAGCCCTTTGCTGACATCTACTGGTCACGTAAGGTATCGGAGAGTCCGGGTCCAGTAATCCTCGACTTATAATGGGTTTCGTACCGACCGTTTGAAGGTATTGTGGGAAGCGACACCCCCACCTTTCTAGAGAGAGAAATATCTGGGGGGATATGAAAAGAGGCAGACCGTTAGATTTCCCCCAAAGGAGAAATGGAGAAACGTGTTTTTAAAGGCAGAAAGCAACGCCCAACAACCTCCAGCAGAGGCCTGAAGTCTTTAGAGAGAGATATTTTGTGCTGAATAAGAAATCCAGGCTAAAGTGACGACGGCACTGAAAAAAGGGAGTTATGCCCATTTTTCACACTTATGACCGCTGCAGCATCCCCGTGGCCACCTGATCAAAATTCAGACCTACTGGCCATTTAGGGTTATAGCAGCCTGATCCAGAAGCCCGACAAGGCGGCTGCAGAGCGAACCTGAGTGAAGCTTCCGGGAAATACAGGTAGTTCTCAATTTATGACGGGTTGTTAAGCTACGACGGGCTTGCTCCGCGACCTCCCCACAAAAAAGGTTGCAAAATTGGGTCTGGCCACGTGGTGTCCTGCTTAATGGCCGTAATTCTGGGGCTTAATTATGGTCTTTTTCCAGGTCCCCATCTAACCTCTTAACCTTTGCAGCCGGGTAGTAACAGCCAACCAACGAGGCTTCCAAAGTTACTCGGAAGAAGACACAAAAGACCCACAAACACACACACACACACACACGGGCAGAACTGCACTGACGCACAAGAGAAACGTTCACACTGGAACCAAGGAAGATGGAAGCAGAGCCGCCATTCAGACCTGCTGTCTTCTGAGCTAGTAAACTGAGGAACACCTTCACCTTTTCAGGTACCAGTTTCGTAACAGTCTCCTCTCACACTCACACCTAAGTTACGCTCTAGGAGTTATTTGGGCTCATCCTGGAGAAAATCAATCTAGGGCCCCGGCAGTCACTCAAAGGCGACACCAACAACGGCAATCCCTCCGTCCACCTGTCCAGCCATCTTAAAATCCAGACCTTCCTTCCTCTTCCTCCCCTTCCTTGCTCCCTCCCTCCCTCCCTCCCATCCTCCTTCTCCCCCCTCCCTCCCTCCTCCCTCCCTCCCCTTCCTTGCTTCCTCCTTCCTCCCTCTGCCCCTTCCTCTCTCCCTCTTTCCTCCCTCGCTTCCTTGCCTTCCTTGTTTCCTCTTTTCCTCCCATCCTCTTTCTCCTTCCTTCCCTTGCTTCCTCCTTCCGCTCCTTCCTCTCTCCT